GGGCAGGTGGACTGACCTGGCTGCATCTCTTTACGAGTTGTTTGGGAAGGCCAGTTTTTGTTTTCAAGGGAAATGCAATCCAGGCTGTATCTGCGGTGGGTTTGGAGCTGCTGACCGTCTGAGACACGGTGAAGGCAACCCGCGGAAGTTGCTCTGAAGTGTAAAAGCATAGCAGCGAACCCTTAAAAAAAAAAAAAAAGTTTGATTTATTACCCTTTGTTGCTGCATCCAAATGTAGGTTTCTCCCACTACGCCAGAACAAGCGTCATATTTGAAGTGTATTGCAATCTAATACCTTGTAAAACTAAGTGTATCTAATTAATTGTCCTAATATTTTTAGATTAGTGTTTATGATGGGAAACCTTATCCTCTTTGAAGTAATACCCAGAAAATGGCCAAGGCAAACAGCAAGCCTGCTGGGGAGGAAGGAGGGAGGAATGCCAGTTTGCAGACAAAAGTATTTTTTTCCGTTCAATAAGTGTCAGAGATTAATATTACTGAAGCTCTGATTACATGGCCTAATCCATTTTAGTGAATAAATTTGGTCTTGATGTCCGTTGCACCTACATTAACAAACCCTCCTCTGTTAGAGAGACTAGGAGCCTATGGGAGAGATTTCAGATATATTAAACCCCATTACAGAAAATGTAATTTCTGTCAATATAATCCCGTGTATTCTTCAATTTAGTACTTTAGAGATAACAAGCTACTTACAATATATTTGCCTTTGGAGGATTAATTTACAAAGTGCACTATCTGGGAGAGGCAGGCGGGCTCACATAAGCATAGCTTGTACGGGTTATCAATTCCTGTGACCCCGCTGCAGCCCTGGGAGATCAATTTTTTGAAGCCCTTTAAGACACTGAATAAAGGAAAATGCCAAATACTTAGTGCATGTGAAGTATGCTTCCAAGGAATTTACTCTAAAGTGGAGAGCTAAAAGACACTAAACGTTTTAAAAAAAAAAAAAAAGTTTCGAGTAAATGTAGAGCGCGGTACTCCAGGTCAGCTGGGAAAAACCTGTGTACTTGTTCCAGATTTATATCCCCCCACCGCTGCCCGATCGATGCCCTAATTCATGGGGTTGTCCCTGAACTCAGTGATAGGTGGTTTAGCCGTTTTGAGAAGCGAGGTGTATTTACCAGGGGGCTTATTGAATGGTTCGGCTGAGTGGACGGTGGTTGCTGCGGCAGGGCTCGGAGCCGGGCTGATCCGCGTGCCGGTGGGCCAGCGCGGGCTGCCCTTCGGCCGGGTCCCCGCGGGCTCCTCCCGCTGCACGTCCCCGTCTTCCCACCTTTTGCACCCAATGCAAGTGGGCTGTCGGCGGGGAGACGGAAATGGTCCCGACGGGGATACGGATCGGCTTTCCTCGGGAGTCGCGGGGTGGGAGAGCACGAAAAGCCCGAGACCGTGGGTGAAGGCGTGAACCGTGATCCTGGGAGCAGGTTAAAATAGTCGGGCCTCGCGCTCAGCAACAAAGGTACGAACCAGATATCTGACCACGGTGTCTCATTTGGCACAGACTAGCGCGCCGGTTAAAGATGGTCCATCAGAGAAACGTTCAGAGATAATGAACACAGGCTGCTTTGAAGTAAAGCTGGTGGAATTTCTCCCGAGTGACTTGCCAGGGTGTTTTCCAGTACCCATCTTGCCTTGGATTTGAAGAGTTTTACTTAGGCTTTGTGTCAGATGTATTTTTATAAGTTCCTTATGTGCAAGAAACAAATAAAAGTAGGTCAAAATACATTATAACTCGAGTCTTCTGGATGTAGGGCAGGCTTCCTCTGCTTGAGCTAGTTTGGTAATTCTGCTGCGGTGGTACAATTGCATAAATTATTGAGAGAATTCCTCCTCCCCTGCCTGGACTCGCAAAGGTTTGACATTATAGAGCCAATCAGCACTTGGGCCATCCCGGGTATTGATCCATGGTGGGCAGAGATGCCAACGTATGGTCGTGGAGCCCCTACTTTTTCTAAAGGGGGTTTGAGGAAACAAGGGACTGAGGCTGTGCAAGAGCATGGAGGACAGACGGACACACACACACACGTGCACACACACACACTTTCTTAGAGTGTGGTATGCATGAGAACAAATTCTTTTTGCCCAAATTTTTTGCTGCAGGGAACAGCTAACATATCATTTATGGTTGGCTTTGCCTTTCTTCAGCTGGCTCATAAGTCATTCAGCCACAACTTTCAAAAAATTTTGCCTTCCTCCTTAGATTCTTCAAAACTTGTTAACACACATGTACATTTTTGTATTAATGATGAGTCATTGTAAATCACTGTTGCAGAGATTAAATAAAATGCTGAAGGGCAGGCTGGGTGCAGATCAGTCATAAATTATTGGCAGCAACACAGCATGTGGGAATACATGAAATGTGCATGAAAAACATAAACTCATGTCTGGTAGCATGGTAGTTAGCCCAGACTGGGAATGCTGGATTTTCTGGATGGAATTATAAGTTTGCCACAGAGAAGCCAGTGAAGAGAGCATTTGTTTTCCGCAGATTGAAAGCATTTGAACAATTTTTTGTCATATTTTGGATGCTTTCACAGTATATGCTAGTTGCATACTTCAGTTGCTCTGCCGTAACGAAAAATGGTGCTTTTCACATACGTTCTGCATGGTGTCCGGGCTCCCCGGGCTGACGCACACAACTCCTGTTGCTGGCGGAGGAGGGTGCATGAATGGCACGATGATGTGAGACGTGCCGTAAAACGTATCCACAGTAGGGCACATATCTTCAACAATACCACACTTTTAACCTGAACTTTTTTCTTTTTTCCTTTTTTTTTTTTAAGTAATCCAATCACCCAGATGGTGACTTTTTTTCCCCTTTTTCATCGCTGGAGATTTTGCTTGTGAACCAGCAGCGTTCCCTTTTGGGACCATCGTTTTGCCCAAGTTGGGTATTTGTGCCGTGGGAAGAGGGAGCCACTGCTGTGTTGCAAAAAAACTATTGCAGGTACTAAGGTAGCAGAGTTCAATCCGTTGTTAGTCTAGACGAACCGTTCAGGTCCTCGTCTTGTTAGTCGTTTAACCCCGTAGCAGTCTAGGGTTCAAAGCATGGTAACGTGAACTTGACGGGGTGCTTGTATGATCTTGACAGTGGTGCATATATGGACATGGCAGGGACCTGACAAAGTACAGGTTAATAAGGTGCTTTTCCCCAGTGATAAAAACTATTGCTCTGTGATTGAAATATCCAGAAGGTGTGATACAATCACTTACTACCTCGGTAGAGAGCCGGCTAGGGCATATTGAACAATCTATACAGCTTCCTTGTTTACTACGTCCCAGCTGAATCTGTTCCTGTTAAGAATTAATGTTAAATAATTACTTGTGGTACTCTAAGGAGACAGAGCAGTTCTCATCAAGGGCTGCGTGAGATGTCGAATGCTTGTTGATGTATTGTAGAGGTCTAGGTACACAGACATACATAGCTGTATGTTTGTATGATGATGCATATGTACGTGTCTGTATCTGTGTATCCATATGCATTTGCATGTAGGTGTGTGATCAGTTCTCTCTATAGAGGCTGCGTAAAAATTGTCTTTTAAAAAAGATTGTTTGCAAATGCTAAAGCTCTGAAGTGAGCAGATGCCAGCCTTTCATTAAGTGCTTCCATCCTGCTTTTTCCAAAATATACTTGTGTTATCTAGGGCACAGGCTAGACAATGATGGAGCAGCTAGTCAATATTTTATCTTACCCTCGTTCTTCAGTGCTTCATTTGTTGAGCTGTATTCAAGCCGTGCTTGAAGACGGAATTAATAATTACTGATGGGCTTTCCTACGGCGCTTACCGCTGTAATATCCAGGTACTTCACTGACCTCTGCTTACGTGGGCGGACAGATATGTGGGCGTATGCGATATTTGTACGGTCTCCCTGTGAAGGGAGAGAGTAGTCTTGTCCCTAGTACGCAGGTGGAGAACTGAGGCTGGTTCGGGGTTGGTGTTGGGCTGCCGGGCAACTCCAAATGCTAGCCCGGGATTCACATGCCCACCCAAGGAGCAACGGCCCCTGGCTGCAGTGGCAACTCCGAGGTCTCAGCGCTTGGGCCTGTTGCCTGCAAGGCTCCAGAGCGGGGAGAGACGCGAGAAGGCAGCAACTGCTTGTGAAAAGTTTGGGTTTGATGATTTTACTCAGTAGCACCCGGGCTGTCCAAGGCAGACGTCGCGCTGAAGATCCTGCTCTCTGGGGCAGCATTCAGCTGCTTTGGCCAGGACGACTTTTGTTTTCCTGCCTTCTTCTTTCAACTGTTGCAAACTGTATTTCCTGGAGAAATAAGTTTTTCTACGTTATACTGCCCTGATTTGTTCTCATAACGGAGACTGTCCCCTGTGACGGTTGAGGCATGGGGCCCTATCAAAAATAGTACTGTGAGTTATCTAGACTGGATGCATATGAAGTGAATTAAGGGAGAGGGTGCAAGCAGCCCTAGTAATGCAGTTTCCTGACTCTTTAAGTTCTTGATTTTACGACCTCGGCTTCTTTAAATATCATTTTTGTGTATAATTTCCTAGGCTGGCAAAAAAAAAAAAAAAAAAAAAGGCAAAACCCAAGCGCACTGGAAAAAAATGATCAAATAACATAAATTTCCCTAATCTCATTCTTGGAGACAGCTGAAGTTCTTTCTGCTGACACTTTATAAGGAAGAAATTACAGAAGGCTTCAAGGTCAGCCTGAAGATGACTTCGGCAAACCTGGGAATCTGGTTCTATAGGAGAAAGCGCGCCTGCCCTGCCCGGCGGCTGGCCGTGGGCTGCGCCGCCTTTGCCAAGGGTCG